TACGTTGTGAATATGTTCTCATTTGAATGAAGTCACTAAAAAATGTCCCAGAAGTCTTGTCGTTTACATTTAACGGAATGAGCCAAACATATTATTTCGGGGCTTTTTATAGCCAGCTATGAGGTATGGGATTTGCTCATTGTTGAAGGCCGTACGGTGACCTATAGTTTCTAATTTTTATGTCATAAGGTCCCTGGTAGAGAGTTGTCTCATTGGCAATCATACCACGTCTTCTTTTTTTTTTATATATATATGACGATTCCCATTCGATATTATTAAAAACAAGTGTGTTTTGACGTGTATAATCTTGCGTAACTGAGATCATGCATGCATTTTTAATCAAGTAAAATTCTTCGTTTGGGTAATCTTATTTGTTTCTTTTTAAATTTTCAGAACCTCGAAGAATCCTCAGGGCTATAGTCTCGTACCATCAAAATAGGTGGGAAGTTGAAAAAAATGTCTTGATAGTTGACGCCGAGTAATGATAATAGCCCGAAAACAACATGACAATAAATCCGGAAAAAAAGAGGTAGATATACGGTCTTGATCAATGAAATACATGTGTCAATACCATGCGTCTATCTAACTAGTCATGTGATCTGGTGATGTCTATAATTCAGTTTAAAAACAGAAGACAGTTTGATGACATGTGTCAAAACCACGCGTCAATCTCACTAGTCATGTGATCTGGTGATGCCTATAATTCAGTATAAAAACAGAAGACGGTTTGATGACATGAGTCAATACCATGCGTCAATCTCACTAGTCATGTGATCTGGTGATTCCTATAATTCAGTATAAAAACAGGAGAACACGGTTTTATGGATACTGAACCCTACCCAGTTTAATTAACTGTATATTTTATTGGATATTATATATAGTTATGCACCATGATGGTATTGATAGATTTTTGTTTTTTCAATTTATAATTTGTGAATTAATGTCTTGTTAATAATGCATATGACCCTTTTATTTTCTCCAAGAACTTGTTTTTGTTGTATAGAGCTAGCAGTGTGCCTCGACCGTTTTTTTCATATATGGAGATGGCGGAGCACAATATCCAGTCCTTCTTTTTATGATAACAATCATATTATTTTATTTTACCATGAATACATTTAACGTCCAGAATTTGAATAAAATGTCTGCCACTGGACATTAGGTAAACAACAATGAATCAATAATAAATTGTTCAAACGTCTCTTTTGACAGGTGACTTGTCCCTTGTCTTGCTCTAATGTAGACTTTTCTTTATTTTTTTATCTATATAAAACGCTATTTATTGTAAATATTGTTATTTGTTTAAGATAAGTAGTGACGCGTTTTATGTGGAAGATCTGAACTACTAAAGTGAACGATCTGATCTACAATCTAATATTGACACACTTTATCAACACATGTACTTTTGTCAAGGTCGATATCTTAATGTATGCCAATACAGTGTGTATGAAAAACTGTCCAGTCCGATGCGTAACAAATTGGAAGACCCAAAGAAAGTTGACGGCTAGGTACGGTGATAAAGTATAGACTAGTAGGTATCTATGTCGTTTGGACTCTGGTCACATCTCCTTATTTTTTACCTGACTAATCCAGTCGATATATTTCGACCCTCGAGAGGACATTGACCGATAGAGTGGCATTGGAATATAAAGTGACGAAAAAACAAACACTTGAAAACAACTTTAGAAAGATAACTTATGAATTTGGCGCAATCGAAATAATTTATTGAATTTTCAGAGAATAGTTACACATGATACTACACTGTAACATGTACATAAAATAAGGTAACTCAATGATTCTGCGGCTCTATCGGTCAGAGTCAGAGTAACAAATTAGGTAACATGTCATCCGTTTGACTGTTACCTTTGAATAGTAAAAATTGGACTCAGCTATCGCATCGGTCTGGTTCAAAAAATGTATATCACGTTTAAAACTTTATGACAATTTTAATGTTACTTCAGAAAAAGTGAAACTACTTCAGACTTTGTTGAAAATCATCAATCAACGTTTTTATGATTTCTCCTACCGAATTTGACGCTAGTGGTTACACTGCGAGCCATCTCGGGTTTTATGAAGTAAGTAGGCCAATACTGATCATATTAACGTGAATATGAAAATGCATTTCATATATACAATATGTATAAAAAAAAACTTGTAGTGGGCAGCAAATGACTGTTCTGAATCAGGAAATGTTGGGTTAAAGTCAATGAAAAAACTATGAGATATAGCAAAAAAAAACATCAAGAGGTCAACCTTTTGTCTTTATTAAAAGGAAAGGGTATACATATAAAATATAATAAACCAAACTGTAAATATATATATATATATGTTTTTACATCATGATAACCCTATTTCATACGTTACGAAGAGATAATTAGATTTGACAAATAGCTGATGCATTTACCACTGATCGAGGTATGAATAGCATCTGAGAGAGGAAAAAACGACATCTGATAAGTTTAAAGTACTAAGTACTTATGATTCAATCTGCAACATTTTCATATATGTCATCTTAATTTCTCGATCTTATCATATACCATGAAGCTTGAAATAGTAATCAGCGGCTCATTCCTACCACTAATTACATAGTAAGAGGCCCTCACTGCCACTACCACAACACCCTCCTACCCCCGACCTTCCAGACCTGACTTTGAATAGAACAAAGATGAACTATAGTTCGTACTTATACCCTATTGTCTCGATCATTTCCTATCGTATTTGTTATTTACAGGGAAGAATCAATTCTAGTGTCAAGGACTATATTGAGTGTGCTTCCAATGCTTAACCTTAATCAATAGCGTGATTTTATGTACTTTTACGTTTTTTATCTTGTTTTGATTATGTCATTTTTAATCATATCTTAGTTGTTTTATTGGCAAGGAAATAAATGTTGATTCAATTGTCAGGCAGCAGCTCGGTGTATAATACTTATAAATAACATACGCGTCCAATGTCTGTTTACTTTTTTTACTTACAGCTACTTCTTAAGTTTAAAACTGAGATGTTTAAATAAAGAATATTACCAATATGGCTCCTAATACTAGTAAACAATTCTCTAGTTGGCTGATCACATGTTTTTACATCTTATAGTTTAACTGAACATTAATTCCAAAAGGTTTTGATGATTGCCAGTTGTGCTAGCATCAAATGCGCCAAAAGGCTTCTTCAATATTTTTTCCATAGTGAATAGATAAACACAAAGTACAAATCCTGTGCGAAAATATTTTTCTGGCGAAGATTATATATATTATGATCATATTATTTCTAAACTTAAATGCGAATCAACTATTTTGTGTAAGTTCACCGATTTAGTGATGGTATTTAGCACATAACATATGAATAGAAATTTGATTCTGCATTGGAGAGAATTTTAAAATACGTTATCAATTTGATTTTAGGGTAAAATCAAACTCAAACCGTACCTTCTACCTTGCAAATGCCAAAAGGATCGCAATAATAGAAGATATCAAGAATGTTGTGTACAGTGTTCTGTATGAACCACTGCTAACCTCGCAAAGAAGAGAGGCCTGGGGTTCGATATCCAGCCTTGTCAAACTAAAGACTTATATATACATACAAATTGGTATCTACTGCCGCTCAAATCACTGGATGGATTTAAGCAAACTTCTATCCATACTCTCTATGTAGTGCCTTAGGACTACATGCATTTTGATCTATTAATACTAGTAAAAACCAACTTCGATTCTTTGGTCCATAATGACGTAAGCGGGAAGTGCTAGTTCAGGATATATTTCTTAAACTAATGATATCGTAATAAGGAGATGTGAAATGATTGGTGACCAGGGTGCCCGCCCCCTTATGAAGCTACATTTTTGGTAAATTCAGACTATTTACCTGTTTCACTGCAAACTTTGTCTAGTTTGCCCCATCCCCCCCCCCCCCCCCCCCCCCCCCCCTTTCTTTTAAAATCTGGGATCCGCATCTGGACTGCCAGACTGTTCCGTTCTCTGAAAAATTTCCTGTTGTACCGCATACACCGTCTTGTCATGTAGATTACTCTTATATAAAATGACTGACATTTAGGAACATAGTTGAAGAATGTTATTAGATAAAATGGTTGTTTAAAATCAAACTTCAGTAGACCCTCTTACCAGGTACCTCTTCCTCATGCGGGTTGCCGGTTCACGCGGGTAACAACATTATATATATCTAACTGGAATAATAACGTTATATATTGAATCAAATCGTCCGTTTGGTCAGTGAGCGACAACAGGATTCTTCCGTTTCAAATTAAATGTATACATACATGGGGTATTAATTTTAGTGGTATAGTGGTAATGCTAGTATTGGTAATGATAATAATGATAATAATGGTAGTTACAGTCATGATTTAATCTATTTAAAAAAAAAAATGCATTGTACTTAATGTCATATCAGACAGTCAGTTTCAATTAAAATGGCAAAATATATCAACTGTTAAATCAATGCAATATCCTCATAACAAAATTAACGTGGATGCCCTCCCTGATCGGTAAAGTAAAAAAATGATTAGATTTATGTTCCAATTCCATACAAACGTGCCCGACCCGATTGCAATTTGTAAGATTTATAATGTTTGTAAAGGCGGGTTTGACCATACCGCCAACTTAATTAGTAATTTGTATTACTTTTAATGTCAAGGTACTGATATTTACGACCAATCCATACTAGATTCGTCATGTATTTACTGTTTTCATTTGTCTGTTTTTTACTAGCAGATACTTGTAAACATCCAAATTCAGCTTTATTTACAAAACAACTTTACTATTATTGATTGTCTGTAACAAAAAAAGTACTGAACACTCGTCGAATGTATGATTAAAATAGACTGCTTTATGAATATGTATGATTTGATAATAGGAAGGTACATAAAAGGAGCTTCGACTATTTCAGATACATTTATATTAATATAGAATTTGTTTGCGTATTTTTTTTCCAAAGAGGTTATATTTAGGGATCTCAAGATTATTCTCAATATGATAATACCTCAGCGATAATACCACACAACTAACTTTAAAGTTATACTGTTAATATGCAGTATGCTGATTGTTATCATGATTTACATCATACATACTGTCATCGTTTTAATTCTTTAACACTTATTTTAACTGTGAGCTAGTTTTGAAATTTAATCTAACGCCATCATATATAAACAAAATACACATGCAGATAGCACGCTTCAATTGTACAGACCAGCAGAAAGATTCATTACCCTCTGCGAAGGCCTCATAGGGAAAGTGTCACGTGGTTTTCTTAAATGTTTACAAACACAAGTTAGTCACCACGTGGCGATAATATCAGTCAAGGCTGGCTTTGTTTATGTGTAGGCCGCTACGGGTTCTACGAAGGAAGACGGCAGGGGCATTGGTATATAAATACGAGCAATTAGCTCGTGCAAGCATATTTCAAATAAACATAGAATAGGGCAATTGTGTTTGGAGAGAAATTAGCAAAGGTAAGAAACCGCATTTCTTATTAAATTCATAATATTTTTATTTATGCTAAATAAATCAACATTGACAATTTTATATTAGAATATTAAGTTTTTATCATCAATCTTAGTATTGCACATTAATTGTGCCACCATAAAATTTTTGTCTATTATTCAAACTATCAAACAGGTGCGGATACAGGATTTGGAAAAGGAGGTGCCCCTAGCGAAACAACATTAGGAGTGGGACTTTTAAAAAAGAATGCATTAATAATATATGTAGCTCCATAAGGAGGACCCGGGCCCCTTGACCCCCTTTATCCTCCTGTGTCATCTACATATACTTAATGATTTCGATAATCCTGTAAATAAAAATTGTTTTCAATAAATGCATATGTGCATCTAATAGTCCCAGTGGCGGATTCCTTAACTTTTCATAAAGGGGGGGGGGGGGGGGGGGGGCTGACTGACCTAAGGGGGCCCACTCCAGTCATGCTTCAGTGATTCCCTATATAATCAACCAAATTTTTCCCACGAAAGGGGGGGGGGCCTATGAGTCCAATAATTATGACGTCTTGAAAGCTATATTTTTTTGCGTTGACGCCTTCCCAAGACAACGCCGTAGGCGTCACCGGAAAAATTAAAATCTCCTTTCTAGACGTCATAAATTATTTGGACTAACGAGTATCTTGAAGCATTTTGACAATTTTGAATGGTCAAGGGTCTTTGGAGTATATGCAACTATTCAAATATAATAATACTCCAATTTTTTTTGGATGTGAAAATGCAAATTTTTCTTGTCAAATAACATTGTTCACATGTTTCATTTCAGTGCGTTGATCATGGAGAAAAAAGAAATGAGGGATTTTTTGGGAACAACCACCCATTTTAATCCGGCTATGAACCAAATCAACCCAGATGATGCTGCTAAAGCAAAATTCAAATTTAAAGGTGCACATTATATGGGATCGAATCCCGAGGCGGCCGGGGTCAGGACACACCAAGGAAGTCCAAAAATGCAAATATTTACTCAACAGTTTAGACGCACAAGATCAGAAAGTTGTGGAAGTGAAGGGGAACCTGCATCACCAATTGGATCGCCAATAACTACCCCACCACTCCACGCTGCAATTCAAGCCAACTCTCAGGCTCAATTTGGGACACAAGGACAATCAATAGCAAACAGTCTAAAAATGAAGGAGCTTAGGCATGAATTTGATTTCAAATAAAAAGTTTCGTCCAAGAACTAATTCTAGTCGGATTGGCCGTTTACAAAAGACTTTAGTGCTACCTCTCGAGGGCATATGTGTACATTGTAGTGATCTCGCATTGTTTTGATTTTCCATGAATGAATGAAAAGTTATGACTGATTGTTTGCGATCAAATCGCTTTCGTGGTGATAATGAAAGTTTGGTGTGAATAGTCTCATAATGATATTTTGTGTATACAATATTTTTTGTCGAAAATAAATTTTTCTATAAAGTTTCAAAGTTTAATGAGTTATATTTAAGCTGCAAACTACTAGCTTTGCAGATAGCGTGTGTTGTTTACAGTTTACAAAATAAGTAGGTCAGTGTCCTTGTATCCAACAAGTCACATGGAAGGTATTTGTAAATTTTTAACTGACCTTTTCATTGCTTTGCATTGGTTTTTTTTGTTTTTTTTTGTTTTTTTTTTATCTATTTTTAAATCCATATCATTTGGAAGTCGGTGATATGAACGAGGTGTATTTAGGAATAACAATTGAACGTTGCCGTCTTTCCGATTGCAGTAAATGTTAGGCATTCGGAGAGAAGATATGAAAAAGGTGTAAACTTGTCCTACAAACACATTTGAGATGTTAAGGAGGTCTAGGCTACACACTAGATTTGATTAATTGGAAGCAAATCGAGACAAGATCTAAATACTCTTATGTATTCAGTCACCTTGAACAATCGCTTCCTTTTCGCAAACAGTAAATCTGAAGAAAAAAAGATTGGGAGGGTAAACTTTAATGAGACCGCAACCTACAAAAAAATCACATAAATGGAAACCGGCCTCGATACTGGACAATTGCAACAGACTGAAAACGAGGAACAGATAATTAATGAATAGATACGATTACATAACCTTTAGTTAATTACTCTCCAATCCTTAATAGTGTAAACCGAAGGAATGGTACATTATGGTAATTATTTACTAATGATCACCTATGGTCTGGCCTGCAGCAAAGGACGATGTGAACAATTACAAGTCACCATACGGCCTTAAACAATGAGCTACAATATTCCCGCGATGGCAAAATGTTGATCTAAATGAAAAACACAACGACCTGATTATAGAACTACAACAGTAAACCAAAAAACAATAATGACAAGACAGCAACAAGTTAGATCAACTCTCTGTCTTAACATAGGCACATACAGAATGTAATGGGATTAAACATAAATATGCCTAACTGGGGACATTGGTAGCAGCACAATATTACAACAAACTACAAATTAAATGGAAAGGTCTCGACTCGTCAGATACCAGTACCAATAACTATAAAAGACACCATACAAAAGTACAAAATATCGGAATACGCAGTTACTGAAAGCTTGTTTAAAGGCAATAATAAACCATATTTTCAAAAACTAAAATATCAATTAGTACAACTCCAAAGGGATTTGGTGTAAAGACGTTATAAGCATGTTAAAATTTTAACCATGCCCTGGACTTTCATAACTCATTTTCTGATATTTTTGTTTGGTTTTCAACTATATTTTTATTACTATGTAACAACTACTACATGATATGCTTATGAAGCATAATGGCAGTCTGCACTAATAGGTGTCTGGAATATCGAGATTAGATTAAAAACGACGTCACTTTATTTCTCAGATATGGTATGCACATATTGGAAGTCGGCTACAAATGGTCACGACTCGGGCTTCAGTATTCATGTATCAATATGTTATTGTATGCATGTATGTATATAATCAATACATGAAGGGACTTGTAGATATAAAAAAGAAGATGTGGTATGATTGCCAATGAGACAACTCTCCACAAGAGACCAAATGCCACAGAAATTAACAGCTATAGGTCACCGTACGGCCTTCAACTAAGGAGTACTTGCAGGGCAAACAACAAAGTACTGTTTATTCTTTGGTGTTGAGACTTTTTAAGGGTATATGTAGTGACAGTGGAGAGTTGGATCGGGCATTCACTCCCCTTCTGAGTCGTAAAGTATAATGATGCATTTGTATACTCTCCGAATAAGTTATGCTTTCGAATTCAAAATATACAATTTATCAAATAGAACATACAATATGACAAGTATTCCTGATTTAGTTAAAAGTTGTTGAAGTTATAATATCATTCACCTTTATGTTGTCTTCAAAGGGGGCATACACACTACTAATGGGCAGCACGTTGCGTTGGTACATGTACAATGCATTAAGTCACGCTTAAGCTGATCTCAAAAACCTTACCATCACTATCATAGACCACAACGAGGATTGGTCAAGGGCCGACAGACTTTCTCGGGAAAGTTTTTGGATAAGGAAGTTAAGGACAGTTTTCCCAGAGGGCATTAATGAAAAAACATAGAATGAGTCCCTACCATCACTTGATTCCAATAACTCAGGCTTCAGTACAGGACTCTTACAGTTTTAAAGAATTTATTCCTCCTCCCAAACATCAATATTGAAAAAGTTTACCAGCGTATTGATTCGTGATAATTTGTATAACTTGGCGATCAAGATTGCTATTACAGTGTGACTACCACATGTCAAGATAAGAACCATTTGACATCTTACTGATGAAGGATATTAGTACCAATAACTATAAAAGACACAATACAAAAGTACAAAATATCGGAATACGCAGTTACTGAAAGCTTGTTTAAAGGCAATAATAAACCATATTTTCAAAGACTAAAATATCAATTAGTACAACTCCAACGGATTTGGTGTAAAGACGTTATAAGCATGTTAAAATTTTAACCATGCCCCTGGGGTTTCATAACTAATTTTCTGATATTTTTGTTCGGTTTTCAGCTATATTTTTATTACTATGTAACAACTACTACATGACATGCTTATGAAGCATAATGACAGTCTGCACTAATGGGTCTCTGGAATATCGAGATTAGATTAAAAACGACGTCACTTTATTTCTCAGATATGGTATGCACATATTGGAAGTCGGCTACAAATGGTCACGACTCGGGTTTCAGTATTCATGTATCAATATGTTATTGTATGCATGTATGTATATAATCAATACATGAAGGGACTTGTAGATATAAAAAAGAAGATGTGGTATGATTGCCAATGAGACAACTCTCCACAAGAGACCAAATGACACAGAAATTAACAGCTATAGGTCACCGTACGGCCTTCAACTAGGGAGTACTTGCAAGGCAAACAACAAAGTACTGTTTATTCTTTAGTGTTGAGACTTTTTAAGGGTATATGTAGCTTTTTAGTTATCCGAAATATTTAACATTTGTTCATGATTTTATTTTTATATATATCTGAAGCCACAGCCAAACCAGAGCGACTGTCGTTATTTGTATGTGTAAAAAGCATGAATAAATATAAATTATATATCCTTACAGACAAACATTGTTGTATATACATTACTGACCTATATATATATATATATTGATATATTTCAAAAATGTATTTATACAAATTCCAATAAATATCAGTAAATCTAGGTTTTCTGGGATAAAAAGTCAATCGAACTTAACACTTCTGTTTACACAGGATTTTTTTTTTTCAAATTATCAAATCTTTTCATAGACATCTGTTCTCGTATGATTATAGAGGGTAAATTTTAAAATAGAATGTTTTTTAGCTTCATTCAACTTTATACAACGTGCATTTGTACATAACCTTTGTGATCTATCAATTTATATAGTTTTTCTTTAAATATGTCTCTATCTTTTAAAAGTTAGTGGGTGAGCACTTATTTTGATCTTGCACAGATCTTGCCTATCTTTGGATGGTCTTAGTTCATTTTTTTTTTAAAGTTTTTAAACCCCTAGTCCGAAAGGAGGGGGTATACTTGTTTTCGTCTGTCCGTGTATCCGTCTGTCACATTATATATTTTTGTCGCAATTTTCCCGTGATTTACAGAGCTTCCTTAAGTTTAAAATCAATGTTCATGTGATCATTCTCATACTGTGGGATGCATTTTCAGATTCATCGCTCATCCATGCACTTCCTGTTTTCCTAATACTTAAAATATACATTCTTACACATAATGGACATGTATGAAATTTTCGTCGCGTCTTTCTCAGAAACTTCAAATCAAGGCTTTCTGAAATTTGGAATCACTCTTTATGCGAGCATGGTAGGTGTCCTGTATTTTCATATTCATTACTCATCCACTTCCTGTTTACTGAATACTTGTATGCTCTTATGCATAATGGCTATGTATGAAATTTTCGTCATCAGGTACTACAAATAAATCCTTCTGAAATTTGGAATAAAATTTATGACAAAATTGACATAATGTGATCTTGCTATACTGTGTGATAACATTTTTTCAAATTCATTGTTCATCAACTTCATGTTTACTGAATGCTTATGAGCAATAAGCGCACATTTCAACTTGTTAATCAATACGTAACGTATATATCAGTATATAAGTATTCTTCTTCGTCAATATAAACCTATAATAACAGGTTTTTTTTCTATTTCTAACGAATATAATTATATCAAGCTTAATATGTTATAAAGTATGTCAGGTTGAGATTGTCTGGTATCGGTTGTGATATTCTGGAACAATGTTGAGATCTACAGTAACTGTCAAATACAATTTTAAACTAGCTACGTATCAATCGGATACAACCGTTAAAATTTCATGATTTTTCTGTATAGTGGTTGTCATTTTAACTTGTTTCTGGTTTTGACATTAGTTTTATATGGAGTCATGTTGGTATATATAGATACTAAAGAGTTGTGTTTTTAAAGTCTAGCTAAGGAGATAGAAAGTCTAGCGCTGAAGATTTGAAGTCAAGCGCTGTACGTATAAAATTTAGCGCAGTAGATGCTAAGTCCAGCGCTGTAGATCTGAATTTTCAGAGCTGTAGATGCAAAGTCATGCCTTGCTTCCTAACAAAGGCTCGCTGTTGTGTCATGTTTGTGCATACGTATGGAATCAGTATCTTCCATAGATTCGATTTACGATAGGTAACATGGTAAAATATAATCTCTTTTATGCTTTACCATGGAAACAATTTGCATTCAATTGATACAAAATATTGCAAAAAGGGGGGTGACAAATGTCTACAAAATTTTTCCAAAGTAAAATTTCAATCCATTCGAGTGACATCTTTTCTGAAACCATTGACATTTATCTTTTTAGATGTCAAATAAAAACCACATGCATTTAACATTATTTTTACATAAAATTGAATTGAAAAGTTTGAGCGTATAAAAGATGTTAAAAAACACGCTCCAATAATTTCTGGACCTAATGCCGGTACGGATGTGATATAAGGACTGTCAAACAGAAAATTGGCTATATCTCGTTTGAATTTTTTTTACATTTTGTCATTTCGGGGCCTTTTATAGATTACTATGTGGGATGGGTTTTACTTATTGTTAAAGGCCTACGGTGACCTATAGTTGTTAATTTCTGTGTCATTTGGTCTCTTGTGAAGAGTTGTCTCATTAGCAATCATACCATATCTTCTTATTCTTATATAAAAAATGCGAAAACAATCTTGATGTTATATAAACCCCTTTTGAAAGTTATATCATTCTTCAGCGATCTAAGAATAAATTTTATTGCACACGAACTTTCTTTTTTCTCGCTTAACCATTATTAAGTTGAGATTTGATGGTTTACCAGGCGTGTACTTGAAGAAAATATGTAACATTCTTTAAGCGTAACTATTACAAATATATGCATCAAATGATAAACCATCCTTTATTTTTTTGTTACTTTTTTTACATGAGAGCATATTTTAACATTGCCCAAAATATGCATAGTACATCTCCCTAATTTAGATATAAGAGCAAGCTTTTCTGTTAACCCCAAAAAAATATATTTCATAAATTTCGTGTGTAATTTTTAAAATATATATTCGAGTAAACTTTTTCTAAAATGAAATCATAAAAATCTGAATCTTGCGTGCTTTATAATAGATCTAGTTTAAATTAAGTTGAAGTATGGTCCGCTTACATCCTAAAGTTTTTACGTTGAAAAGTTTGTTAAATGTAATAAGTAGACGTCCATCATTTGAAACCATTTAGTCTCTTCGAACTAGAAACAGCTACTGTCCATTCATTGGTAACATAGCTCTAAAACACCGTCCATTGAGACAGATTTTTGGTTAATGGTCCCATTATCACCATTCAAAATAATGCTATGTTCATAATTGTCTAGCTATACATAAAGACACAAATATTGAACAATAGTTTTGAATAAAGCGCGCATATGATAACCAAATATAGTATTGTCTCATTGGCGGATGACACCATAAAGTTATCATCTATAATGAATAGTAGACAACCCTGACCTACAACGGCCAATTGCATGTAAAATCATGTCTACAGTTCAAATACTAATATTGTTTGCAATGGACAAATACCAAGTGAAAAAACGTGGTCTCTAAATAGTTCAAAAAATAATCGCCTCTCCCAATAATAGAAAATTTTTATAAATTGAAAATGATATAAAATATTGTTGGTGCAGAAAATTAACAAGTCAAGGCCCACCAGGTCCATTTCTTCCACCCAAGTCAACAAAAGGCTGTAAGGGTTCATTGTTTGGTTATGAACATGTCTCTTTAAGGGTATATCAATACTTAACTCATTTCACATAAAAGAACACTAACCTACTTCAGTTGTTTGTAAACAAAACGTTTCATTACTCATGTTTGGCCGACAGCTTGGTTAAAAATCGATTTATTTAAAAATAACTGAATTTGTAGAAAATTTATTTGGAATAACATGTATAAACAAAACAAAAACAAATATGAACATACAAGTAAACATATCACATTTTAATATTCATAAATTGATTTGATCGGAAGCATTCATTTTCAACACCATACACATTCGAACACTTTTTTATCAAATAAGTGAAACATAACCGAAATCTCTACTATTTACAAATCTAAGCTCGCAAGAATGTTATCCTTTCTCAAACATAACAAATGCCATTGCGACTAGAAGTTTAAGCAATTTTTGTTTTGAGCATTGGTTTATAAAATAGCATGAATTGGTGGCAATGCACATGATGCTGATCCAACTGGTGATGTCGGTTCTCCTTCACTTCCACAACTTTCGGACCTTGTTCGCCTAAACTGAGAAAATATGTTCAGTTTTGGGCTTCCCTCGCGAAGCCTCAATCCTGCGTCTGGATTGGAACCCATATGATGTGCACCTTTGTATCTGAATTTAGCCTTCGCAGTTTCTGCTGCACTAAAATTATTTGATTCGGGATTATAGTGTTGGGTGTTTCCCAAAAAATCTCTCATTTCCCTTTTCTCCATAACGCCTTTCTGTAACAAAAAAAAATATGACTATACAGTATAAGTATTCTAGATGTTTCTCGTTTGAATTAATATTATATCTGAAGCGGACAGTCACTAATAAATATACCTCCCTCCCCAACAAATCTGTATCGAAGGAATTGGAAGTCTAATGTTGTTTGCGTCCTCGTCGTTAATAGTTGTCTCGTTGGCTTTCATAACCACAACTTATTTTATTGAAAAATAAAAGAATAAAACAGACTGCGAAAACGAAACTGGCGGGTCAACATTTTCAAAAAGGGAACCCACCGCAGAATTAGAGTTGGAAGAATAAGGGGCCGATCCACCTTGGATCCCATGGATCCGCCAGTGATTGTGTAGCTAACCAGACATATTTACCTTATGTGTAGCTGTAAAGAAATGTCCTGAATTACAAATTCTATTTCAACTTTGCTTTGGTCAGTATATATAATAGTATTAATTAGAAATTTTATTGCACAAGTATATATAGTGATGCCCCTGCCGACTTTCACCGTTCAACCCGCAGCAAAATTAATACATAAACAATGTCAGCCTTGACACAGAAATACCGCGTGGGGATTTCCTTGTGTTTGTAAACATTGAAAGAGAACACGTGATTTTTTAAACTGAAAGTCACATTAAAAATAATGGGTAATGGACTGTTTGATGATTAATTTTAATTGTCTACACTTGAATTTTGTGGCGTTAATATACCTGGATGTCTGAAAGATATTCTGAATAAAGTATAATCTTTTTATTAACCAAGATACATATCAACATGTTTTCGATTTTACATATACGACTTTTTAACAGCGATTTTTGATCAAAGTTTATCGCGTCTACCTCAAAACATAGCTTCACAACGACCAATTGCAATCACTTATGTCAATTATTATGGGTTTCACAGAAACTTTCAGATTTGATTAAATACAAAGTTAAAGTTATTAAGGATACATTTTGACCCACTCCTTTATGTTGCCTCTTGTCTGATCAATTCTTATGCATATTCATTAGCTTGTCTATAATTATATCATACATGTACTGCATGCTCAGCTGTTTTGAAAATAAAATGTTTAGGTAATTGAAATTTTGATCATAACGTAGTAAACAACAGTACACATAAACATATTGTTGATCATAACGAAGTGCAAACAAAATTGCTATGCTAAGGATCACGTATGTTTGCTTTGTTCCTGTGTAATCGGTATGAGTAAGTCATCTCCGTACAAAATTACTTTTGTTGTGATCTACGTGTAATGCCATCTAATACGAAATGCGACATGTTTTTTCATACCTTTTCGTCAAGGTTAAGGTTTTGTAAACTGAAGACAATTTTTTTAACTTTTTTTTTTGGATGCACAAGTCATTGTCCTAGCTTGAGTCTGATTTGTCCACACAATCATAACCATTTAGATGGATTTTACATCAAAAGTTCAAAACTGGTTTTTTTTTTTTTTTTTTTTTGTGAAAAAAGGGGGGTATAATTAAGCATCTTATAGTTTGCTTGTGTACTACACATAGCCAGAACTATCAGAAATGAAATATTTCTGTGTGTTTTAATGTTTATTTCATCTGAGGTAGAGGATTAAGGGCTATCAAACTTGTTTAACTCCGCCATCTTCTTGTAGTGCTTGTCTAAAGCCAGGGGAGCTCGTAGTGATCCGTAGTCTAGATGTGTTTCTTGTTACGGGTTTTTGTCTTTGAATTCGTTTTACGTAATGACTTCAATAAATGCTTTGTCACTTGTCACATTTCATTTTGGAGAGGTTGTCTTTTAATCTATCCGTCACGTGATGAATTTACCAACTGGAATTGAATACTAGTATTTGATTGAAGTTCAGTTATTAGTTTATTGGAATAAAGCGATTAAAAATCATGCCAGTGATAAAAACTGGCTGGCTGGAGTATAGTCTGATAATCTTCCGGCAGCTGGTTCCAGTGATTGCTATGACAAACGATACTAAATACAGAACTTACGACTAATGGTTCTTGAACAACAATCATGCGTTACACTGACGACTGCTGTGCTCCAGACTTATATGTTAGAAACATAAAAACCTTTTGGAGCACTAGATTTAAATGTTTTAAGCAGGAAACCAAAACGATCTAACGGTCGTCATACAAGGAGTTGCAACCTTGTTTGTGTGCATTTAAAACTTATCTTTAAAAGAAAACCAATAACTAAGCCACTGGAGACTGTATGGATGATATCTTCGGGGACTTAGTCGTCCTTACTTATTGGAATTGCAACCTTCGCTTTTTTTGTGTGCAAATTAATCAACTTTAAAAGAAAGAGAAAAAAAACAACTTTAAAGATGAATGGTAGTTTGAACACATTTAATTTTAGATACACGGTTAATTACATATGCGGTCGATTTTGTCTTCCGTCATTATATAGCATCACCAGGACAGCGGTGCATATTCCAAGCTCCAAACACCTCGCGGCCGTCGAAGAGGTGTAAGTAGATTTATCAGAGACAACTAAACATCTACAATAAACACCAAATCCCATAAATTCCTGGGAGTAAAGTACAGTAAGTACATTTACATGTAAGCTCAAGGTTTATTTCATAAGGGTTTTAATAATCTATGGTTTAATCAGGATATTTATAATTGGTAAATGCCCTTGATATTTCCGGATTCTGGTAAAACTGCCTGAGTTAAGTTGTTTTGTGTCCTGGATATTTAAAAGTTAAAATCTGCTGACCTAAAAACGTACATGCTTCATATGAAGATTATCTTTTTTCTCGTTAATAACAAAGGTCATAAAACAACGTAAATTTTCAAACTATGGATGATAGTCAGTCATACAGAATTTGCTGCATTCCAATGACTTTTTTTATGATAATCTTTAAGATCATCAGATGAAAATGATAAGATTTGAAAGCAAAAATGGGCAGAACAAAAATGCCGAAAGGGACTAATAGGATCAGCCAATATAAAAATTATAAGATAGTATTATTTCCAATAAGACAAATATCCATCAAAGACCAGAGAACCAGAGAACCAGAGAACAATTATCTAAACAACTACATTTACAGGTCAACGAACCTCATGTAACAATGAGTAAAACGCATACCGTACAGTAAGCTATAAAATGCACTAGATCAGTAAGTGATCACGAAAATCAAGCATTGCAGATAAAAACCGACGACAACCAATGGCACATATAGAATGTGGTGTTGTTTAAAATGTTTGTGAAAATAATTCATGATTGATTAACTTTTCCTTAGTTTTTTTTAGTTAAATGAAAAGAAATATAATACGTTAACGAACCTGTAATATATCTTGGTGCGAGTAGTATAATGCTTCCATATGAATAAAACTTATTTGTATTTAAAGGAAAAAACAATAATGAGACAGCGACTAAACAACATATTGAAGAATGAAATTGAGAATGGAAACGGGGAATGTGTCAATGTGACAACAACCCAACAAAAACATGCATTTTTTAATGATATTAACATCTAGCATCTTGTCCTTTATTAAGGAAGCTGGGGTGTCTAAATGTTCGACGATAGATTTTTCTTAGACTTCTTTAAAAGACTTATGCATGGGTCAATGTACTTTCAAGTTTCAATATAACAACTGGGGGTCACGGACCTTGTATTTTTCGTTAAAATACATTAAATCTTTCAAAAGACATTAGTAAACCTTAACACTCATTGATAAGGTTTCTTTCACAAGAACAAAAACATGTGGTGGAGTTAAACAAGTTGAAGGGAGCAGCCAAAAAATCATAAGTCGAAAAATGATGGAAAATGCCATCACAAAAAGAAAAACGACTAACAAACCACACAACACTGCACAGAAAACTAAAGACCGACCATAAACCAGAAGGGAACTTGGGTACATTAAAAATTGGTCTTGAAAATGAGCTTATTCAATAATAATGATGATAGACTGTCCGCTAGAAATAGCATCAACAGAGAGGCGACGGATACCAAAGGGACATTCACACTCATAAGTCGAAAATAAACTGACTGTGCGGTATGGGTTTTGCTCATTGTTGAAGGCCGTACGGTGACCTATAGTTATTAATTTCTGTGTCATTTGGTCTCTTGTGGAGAGTTGTCTCATTGGCAATCATACCACATCTTCATATTTATATATATATATATATATATATATATATATATATATATATAGACCCCTCTACCAAGAAATTTGTTTTGCATGCACACGTATAAAAAATGAGGTTTTTATCCAACGCAATCATAGGTTTGAGCGTTGTTTTCAATTTAGACTTGTATATATTTTTTCGTTTGGGCTTGAATTATATTTGCCTTTGGGTTTATATGATCCGTTCATCCTATTTCGACTCTTCAAAATTCAAGAGTCTATCCTAAATTGAGGTAAATTATATGGCCTTCCAAATACCATTTTGATTCCTAACACCACTGAAGAGACATTATCCGGATATGGTGTACTAATTTTTGCACCTTTTGTTTGCGGTATACAATCTTTTCCGCAAGTTTATTGTTTTCTGTTTTGTATTAAATTAATAGTTAAGATCCATTTTGTTACATCTGGTGATCCGTTTATTTGGCAATCGCCAATGGCAGTCAGCAGGGTTTAAGAACATCCGTTGTTCGACCTGCTAGTCAAATGCGTTTTGTTAAAATATACTTTTTCACTTTTTTGGTCTTTTGGAAAATGTTGTTTGTGCTGTATTTAGACCCCTCTTCCAAGAAATTTGTTTTGCATGCACACGTATAAAAAATGCGGTTGTTATCCAACGCAATCATAGGTTTGAACATTGTTTTCAATTTAGACTTCTATATGATATATAATACCAAGCTTATACTTTATATGAAGTTTTGAAGGTTTCGAAACACTTAGGTCTTTTATTGACAACGCCATGGCTAAAAAAAGAAAAGGACAAACAGACAAACAACAGAACACAAAACACAAAATAGAAGACCAAAGACCGAGCAACACGAACCCCACCAAAAACTAGGGCCAAGTAAGAGTATTTTGAATTCAAAATTTATTTTTTATAATCATCAAAATTTATGTAATTTATCATTGCAATTAACCGCTGAAGATTGATGACCAATTCCTCTTCAAAAGTTAGCCATGCCATTTGTTTTAATTCAACAAAAAGTGAAACAAACACATTTGAATATTTTCATAAAAAATAAGTATAAGACAGTATTCCCGAATGATTGTGACTCGATACTTGAAGGTTAATTTGGAACAACAGATTAAGGAATTGAATAAACCTTTGTTTTGGACAAACAAAGTATTAAAAGGTAATGCAGGAGGTTGCTTTTATTATGAAAAGCAAGTCTTGTCAATTTAAGAATTTCAAAGTTAATAGTCTAGTTTACCCGTCTGGCGTAACAAAGTATAAGCTTGGTATTTTTGATGAGTTTTACAATAACTGGGTCGATGCCACTGCTGGTGGCCATTCCATCCCTGAGGGTATCACCAACTCAGTAGTCCACACTTTTGTGTTGATATGAAAATAAAATAAAAATGGTCATTTTTAGTTAATTTTCCATTTATGAAATTTTGAATGTTTCGAAACACTAAGGTCTTTTACCCCTTT